TGACGAGACGCGGGGGAAAAAAGTAGGACTCGTCACCAGCTGGGTCAGCCCTTGAGTAAGAGCGAACGCTTCGACTGCACGACCTGCTGCATCGGTCTTATTTGAGCCCAACCAAAGCTCATTATGGGCATTGAAATCACCGAGAAGAACTACCTCTGAAGCGGGGTGATTGATGTTCAGGAGGTCGATCTGGACGGCGAGGTATTCGAGTAGGTCATCCCAGTTATGGTTCGAGGGAGAGCGATAAAGGCAGCAAATAAATTTGGGTGATGTTTTGGAGTTGAGGCGAAGCCACAGAATGTCCTTCCGGTCTGATTCCAAAGAAAGATCCCTGGAGCAGGAAAGACTGCTGCGGACAAAAGCCACAACTCCCCCGTTCTTTCTCAGATTGGAGTGCACCTCGTAGTTTGGGAAGTTGAGATGGTTAATCGGTGCAGCCTCTGAGATTTTTGTCTCCGCCAAGAAAAGCACGGTGGGACGATTGGATTGCAGGTAGTGATGAACAGCATCAATGTTGCTGTTGATCCCGCAGATGTTCGAAAAACAAATTTTATCTTCGATGTTGTTCCCTCGAGCCCACCCTCCACCCGGACATTCCGAGAGTGGAGTGAGTTTACGTCCGGAGTTTTTAGTGCTCGAGGGATCCATCATCATTAATTTCTTTGTTTTGGTAGATAATCGACTGCATAGCTTAGGTGTGGAAACATGCGGACATTTATAAGACACCCTGGGAAAAGCTAGCGGGTGGTACTGCCTCGGTCGACTGGTCCTTGTCTACCACCTTCTTTTTACGTATTAGTGATGTTAAATAGACCTAAAGTGGCCCGTTGGCGGACTTGTACCGCCACCCGGCAATCGGTACTGAGGTATTCCTTAACGCGTGCGCAATCACTTGGACGGGAAGAAGTTGTATACTGGATACAACGACTTCCGGAACAAGCATTTGCCACGGCCCTCGCTCAGTAGGGATATGAAATAATCTTTAAACATTAAATTATATCGACCGTTCTATCGACTCAAATAAAGGTTTAATCGTTTTTTCAAATTTTTTGTGGTTTTTTTGAAAATCAAATCCTATACCTCTTAAAAAGTCACCCGTTATTATCCTAGCCTTACCAATATTTCGACAATTTTTTTAGCACTGACTTTTACTAAAGTGTTCTCCGAGAAAATGCCCAGCTCCATGTGTGATTTGGGCGTTTACTTACAATTTCCATCATACAACAGACTTGCCTTGTGAGTATCTGCTATATGCCGATGACCTCAATTTTTTTAATAGCGTGTGTTGCTTAGAAGACAGTTTAAGTTTGCAGGCTGATTTTAATGTCATTGATCACTGGTGTAAATAACATGCACTTGAATGTCAATGAATGTACTACTATGACGTTTACACGCAGGGTGGAACGGACATGTTTTAATTTTGAAATCGTTAGCAATGTTCTTTGTCGTGTTGATATCGTCAAGGATTTGGGCGTATTATTCGATATAAAGCTTTCTTTATTGATCACATTAATGCAATAATAGCAAAAGCTTTAAACATCTTGGTTTTGTTATAAGAAACAGTAGACATTTCAATAATACTAATACATTAATTTTACTTTTTAATGCTTTTGTCAGATCTATTTTAGAATACTGTTCGATTATGTGGTACCCGGCCTATGATATACACTGTAAAAACATCGAGAGAATCCCACGTCGTTTTGTGAAATACTTATGGTTTAAAGATGATAGAGCGTACCCTGAAAGGGGTATATGCAACGACATTCTCTTAAGTAGGTATAATTTAACTAATTTAGTCAAACGTATGAATCTGTTAGCTGCTAAATTTTTATGTAATTTGCTGACAGGATCTCTCTACGCGTTCCCGATTTGCGTACTCGTCATGCTGGTATCAATTCATTTTATTTACCTGTTCTGCGGACAAATTTATTGTTATTTTCGTTTTTAGTTCCACCAAAATCGATCTCAAGAGGTGTTTTTTAACAATTGGATAATTTACATTTATGTCTTTTTTATCATGTACTGTATAGAGTTTTGTTTTTGTATCATTTTCTTTTTGTTTTTTCCCTGCCTGTTAATTGGATCACTCTGTTCAGGCAGTGTATGGATTATTATAAAACAAATAAATAAATAAATCATACTCATGTTGTCAAGGAGGTCGCAGTGATCCTTTAAAAGCAGTAAAACAGATTCAATTTTCTGTTCAAAGAAATAAAAGATCACTCCTCATCAACCATCGTGATCGTTCATGAGATTTAATATTCTCAGAATTTCTCTTCAAAGAAAAGGAAATCCTAAAACCTGGAGCAAGAGTTCAAGAGGTGGCAACGTTGACACCTGATGACGGTGGTTCTGAATTAGTTGGCGGCGTCCGTTTCCAATTGAGTTGTGCAGCTTCAGGTGAAATATGCTGATCAACATCCTTGATCGCGAAAAAGAAGGATAGATGTACGAGGTTTGTAGCGCAAATTTTGAATTTTCGCGGGCTTCGTATGTTCGATTTTCGATCTTTTTGTGGCGTTATGTTGGTATTCATGACCCTTACTAATTTTGACAATATCGGCCATTTTGAATGTTCGGTCAGTTATTGTGCGTGGACGTGTTTTAGCTTGTCTCCGATTTTTGTCTATTCCAAAAAATGGATCAAAGGATTTGTATTAAATTTTGTGTAAAAAACAACTTGAAGTGCGCGGACATATTCCAAATGTTGGCTGTTGCATTCGGCAAAGCTACTTTGGACAAAAGCATCGTTTATCGGTGATAAAAAATGTTCTCAGAGGGCCGAGAAGATGTGAGCGACGAAAAGCGTGCCGGGCGCCCAAACACGTCAACAACAGATGAAAACATTGATCACTTGCCGCACGGTAGAACGGTCAATAAGGAATATTACTTTTAAGTAATGCGCAATTTGCGAGAAGCAATCCGCCAGAAACGCCCGGATTTGTGGAAGAACAAAAATTGGCTTTGCACCATGATAACGCCCCTGCTAAAACAACACTCCAATAATGCCTCACCCACCGTATTCCCCAGACCTGGCCCCCTGTGACTTTTTCTTGTTTCCGAAACTGAAGAGACCCATGAAAGGCTGAGCTGAACAAGAAAATAAAAAATGATTTTTCAAAATGCTTCGAGGACTGGAAAAAATTCTTGAAAAAACATGAAATCGCGATACTTTTTGAAAAAACCTCGTATACTGAGAAAACCAAATTACTCTGACGACTTGAGTTCCATGTGTTCTAGAAAGAAGCGCGAGAAGTGTGTATCAACACATATTAGAAAGAGATAGAAGCCGGCTGAAAAGCGAAGGTCACCACCACATCGCCTAGCAACGGTGACGCAATCTGCTGCGTTGCCAGTATGATACACTAGAAAATGTGCGCACAGGCTTCTACAATTAGTTAGTTTAAGAGTACCTAAGCCCAAGAAGAAGGTCTGTTCGAACATTTAATTTAATATTTTTAGTTATTATTAAATTTTGCGACAGCGTGTGGTCGGAAGATGCAACAAGCACCATGACGCAATTGAAATTATTACTAGCTCATCTATGATCATGGAGGTGGAAACCTTGCCTTGGAATGTACGAGATTGCCGCGTCAGCGTTGCTAGGCAACGCGGTGATGAGCTTTGATATCCAGCCGGTCTCTTCTGGGATTTCTTAATAATTCTCCTCAACGCGTAGAAGTACTGAACAGAATTGTGGGGGAAAAATTCCCCAAGGAGCAACAACTAGTTGGAATTTTAATATTCGAACAATAAATGTACAGTATATTCAGATAAGAGATAGACCGGATGTAAACAAAAGGTTCGGGTGATTTTCACGCTAACGCCGTCGTCTCGACGTAAAACAGGAGCCCCCATTGGTCAATTCGCAATTAAATGCCTATGCCGAGCGGCAGAGCAGTCGTATCAAGGCAGAGTCACATTCAGGTTCAGACGTGTTACGTATGTCGTGTGCATCATTGCAATTTGATATTTCTTTGGACGTTTTCGTTTGTTGTCTTATTAAGTTGTTGAGTTTGTCGTTGTTATTGTTATACCTTGTTATAATTATAGGCTAATTTAAACGCCATTTTGAGATTATATTCGACTGTATTTCACCAAACATCAGACGGCATCCGAAGCTGGAAATCGAAGCGAAAATTTTGAAACCCTTATGTATATTTACATCATTATATATTTCTTACCCCACCCCCACATGATCATATATCCATCACCAATCGTATACACATCGAATTGTGCTAATTTACTACAATGTTACGCAAAGCAGCATCTACTATCTAAAATATGTACTGCGTGACTCTTAATACGTCCCTGCCGAATGTTACAGCGTTCGATGATCACGTGGTCTTGTTTATGTCCGGTCTATCTCTTATCTGAATATACTGTAGTGTTTGAGAATAGAGAATTGAATGCATGGAATAAATATAAGAAAATTTCACTAATAAAACCGTTTGCAAGGCAGCTTGCGGTAATCGCCGTATGTTAAACGATTCTGTTTTCGTGTTTTGGTTGACATTTTTTCATCATGTCACGCCTCACGTCGACATCTTGTTCAACCAGTTGCAGAAGAGAAGAACCGATCCAGCGCAAGTTAAAATGGCTATCGATAGTTTTGAAAAATGTATTGTCGATGTGAGAAATAAAATTCATGACATAATAAATGAAGCCAAAAGCACTGAACCCCAAGGCAACAAAATGAGAAGACGTAATAATAGCAATCACTATCACCGAGTTGCTGCATTAGAAGTATGGGACAATATAGTGAATTCTGCAAATGACAGATTTCAATTCAAAGATCATTTGGTAGCCGCATCCCTTTTTTCTCCCCGAACATTTTGGAGAATACTGTGGTAAGTTTCCTGATCACAAGTTGGAAACTACCTGCTTGGCATATCCCGAATTAGAAAAAAGTCGTTTAAAGACAGAGTTGTCTGTTATTTATGCACGGAATGATTGCCTAAATCTACATGGAACTCTGTCTCTTTTATTAGAAATTATAGTTACAACTCCTATGTCAACATCAGAGGCTGAGCGAAATTTCTCAACATTGAAAAGAATCAAGACCTTTCTTCGAAATACTATGACCCAGGATCGCCTTACAGCGTTGTCGATGCTGTTCATTGAAAAAGTATTTATTTCGACCATGGAAAATTTCAACGGGAAGGTGATCGACAAATTTGCTGCCAAGAAGGAGCGCAGGATCGAACTGACATAAAAAATAGGTAAGTTCGGATTTGCAGAACACCTGTTTTATTATATATATGTTACAACTAAGGCCAGTTCTTACGTAAAAAGCCTCCCCACCACCTCTGACATATTGATAAGTAACACCTTCTGTTACCGAAGTTCCAAGTGGAAAAATAACCTTCCATAGACTGGTGCCACTGCATCTAAACCATGACTTTCATAAGTTTCGCGTCAGTTTGTAGTAAAGACGTACGAACGCTAGGAACGTGTACCCTCGTCATTTGCGGACGGCGTGGCAGCTGGTGTCCCGAGAAAATTCCCTTCAGGAGGGATTAGATACACAAGGCAGGGTACGGAGGGATAACACCCAGCTAGAATAAGATAATCCTGAAATTGTTTTGGGCGTCTTCCAGACCTGTCACTTGTTTTATAGAAAACTAGTCTTTTAAAAGGTAGAGTTGGTCTTAAGAGGCGTAACTAGGCTATTTGTTGGCGTTTACCTGAAGACAGCCGACCATGTAGTGTATTTCGGCGTCCAAAAATTATCCGTGATGAAATGAGATACCCTGACGTCATATACAGGGTGTTAATTAAGTATGTGCTATAAATTTAACGGACGATTCTTTGAGTCATTTTAAGACAAAAAGTTCATATAAGCATAGGTCCGCAGATTCTTCGTTCTCAAGATACAGGGTGTTAAAATTAAAAAAAAATGTTTTTTCGTAAATATCTTAAACATCCTTTCATGTAATTTGGTATACTACAACTATTTAAAACTGTAACTCATACGCGTGATCAACACGTGATCAGAGCTCGATCCCGGCTTCCTTCTGGTACAGCCGTATAGCGTACGACATATGTCATTTCTCTGGCTTTGCGGTGGTCAACAGCATAGACAGAGATAGAAATAATGGCTGATTGTTCTCCGCCGGTAGAACCAATGAAATCAAAGACGCGCCTCGACCGGCAGACTCATAGGCGTCGGCAACGCATTGGAATGTGTTTCGTTGAGCGATCGCATATTGTGTGTTTTTATAAGAATTGTTGTGTGATTGTTATTGTTGTGGTTTCTGTGGTTACTGTTTTGGTTATACTTAACCATGGAGAGTACAAATGGCACGAGTGGAAGTACTGAAAGCCAGGGAACAAGTAAACGGCTTCGTAAAGCACTGAAGAGGGACGCGAAAGAAATCGTGCTCAACGTGTTGAATTATCTGAACAGAACTATGTCGCAGGGAGATGCACTCGCGCGTTGTGAAAGTATGACAGGCGTTCCAGAGTGGACCATTCGCAGGGTGGTGCATGAAAAGAAGAAAACTGGAGCTACTACTGATCCAAAGTTTAATTTGAAAGGACGAAAGGCCGTTAAATTGGATGACGATAGCAAAATGGCGTTAAGGCGAACCGTACATTCATTCTTCTTTAGGAATGAGATACCAACCCTCAAGGCTGTACATGCAGCGATCAAGGAAAATGAAATTATACCCCAAATGAGCGTCGAGGTAATGAGGAAATCCCTGCACGAAATTAATTTTCGTTACGAAACGCGTAATCGGAAGTCAGTATTGATCGAAAATACCTACGCGAAATGATTGAATATAGGCGACAAAGCAGAAAAATCTATTATTTGGACGAGACATGGGTAAATGCAGGTCACACAGTTAAAAAAACCTGGATAGACAAAAACGTAGTGAGTAACCGACAAGCAAGCATTGAAGGTTTGTCAACAGGTCTTCGTGGACCGTCATGGAAAGGTCATAGATTGATCGTAACTCATATTGGTAGCGATAGTGGCTTTTTAGAAGAGTGTGACTTGATTTTCGTCTCTAAGAAAGGAGGTGATTACCATGACGAAATGAATGCCAGCTGTTTCGAGAGCTCGTTTCAAGGGGTGCTTCAGCGAGTTGAGCCCAACTCTGTGATCGTCATGGATAATGCTTCCTACCATAGTCGTCGAGCCGAACGTGTACCGGCTATGGGATCTCGTACAAGTGACATGCAGCAATGGTTGCGCGAAAAAGGAATCCCGTTTGACGATTCATGTGTGAAAGCGGAATTGTATGAAAAAATTAAACAGCACAAACCTGCGAACATTAGTTACGTGACTGATGAGATGGCCCGTCAATGTGGTGTCACTGTGCTGCGGTTACTGCCCTACCACTGTGAACTGAACCCAATAGAGCTCATCTGGGCTCAAGTGAAGGGTTATATTGCGCGCCATAACACAACCTTCAAATTACCAGACGTTAAGGTTTTACTTGAGACTTCCATACAGCTAGTAACGCCCGAAGCTTGGCAGAATGCTATCCGTCATGTAGTGAAGGAAGAAACAAAAATGTGGCAGCTTGACCACCACATCGACACCATCATAGAGCCAGTTATAGTCAATTTCAACAAGGAAAGCGATAGTTTATTACTGTCAGATGTAAGTGGAAGCGACGATGAATAAAGGTAATTCCCAAATTTTTGACTTACAATATGTTTCAAACCACTCTTTATTAAGCATGTGACAAATCTAGTTCACTCATGTTAAACATTCATACCCCGCCTATGGACAGCCGACTACTGGTAGTTAAGTGATGTTCACGTGAACATCGATGAGTCATTACAGTTTTAGATAGTTATAGTATAGTGGTATTTAATTTTGTGATTATTTGTTGTTGCTGCATAATTAATAATGAAAAATTATAAAAAAATAATAATTTCAAAAAAAATATTTTCCCGTTTTCTTTGTGTTATCCATGGATATGCAATTAAGTAGCCTTTTTTCCTAGAAAAGTGAGCAATATACGAACAAAATTATCGAGACAAAAAATTTGTATTTCTATACAAATTCTTATAGATGGCGCCATGGTATCTCATTTCATCCCTAGGTATGCAACCTATATTGTAGTTGAAGTTTAGCACCAATCCTTATTTTGCCTTTAACAATATTCAAAACAGCGCTCGATCCGAACATACCGAATTTTTGAAAATAATTGCATTAACTATTCAAAATGACTATCCCCAGGTCTGATGAAATTTTACAATTTTTCTGATGAACCAAGACTAAGGTCGTTTCTATTAAATTACATCCAACAATTATCCGATTTTCCACTTGTGTGAACTCTGTCTGTCCCTCTAGGACATTGATTCCCAAAGTGGTCTATATCGACCCCTAGGGGTCCATGACAACCTGCAAGGGGTCTACGTCAGCGAAAAAAAAATTGGAGGTTCATGAAATGAATATGGGGGTCCACGATAGTGGATCTCAACACATACACTGATAGTACCTATTTACTTACATCATACTATCTTATAATATCAAAACATATACATTATTTATAAAAGTACTTATGAAGTAAAAAAATTATTATATATGTTTATAAAATTGTGTAAGTTGTAGGATGTTGGTATTCGCTTTGTGGTCGCAATACATTTTGAACTTGTGAAAACCTGAGAGTCGCAGTCTCAGAGCTTCGCTACCTTGCACTGACTTGTTCAATTCGTCACTCTACAAATACGAATGTGGGACAAATACGTTTATTCGTTTTCTGAATCTTGCAAAGGAAAGTGGTAAGAAAATATTTTAAAAAATATAAACAGATAGTATATCACACAAATTATAGTGAGTCAGTGTTATTTTGTTTGAGAGTGCTCTAGAAAAGTAAGTACATTATTTTTTATTAAATTTTAGTTTTGTACTCGTAGTTAGCAAAGATAGATAAATTACGCCAATCATGACTTTAGTTATTAGTAGTTAAATATTCAATCATGCAAAATTACACGAGTACTCCTCAATAGTTACTTTTTGAAAGTTTTAGCAATCGGTAATATAATTACAGTGCAATCTCCGTAATTCGAGCTAATTGTTGCAAGATGTTCGAATTATGGAATATTTTCGGAAAAATCAAAAAATATTTTTAATATACAGCTGCTGGATTTTCTGTCTTATTTAAATAATTTAATTTTGCCCACAGATGACTGATGCCATGTCCGAATCTAAAAAGAAATGTAGACAGTACAGTGTTGATTATTTGAAATTTGGCTTCATTCCATCATTGCCGGACAAACAATCGCCTATGTGCCTTTTATGCAACAAAGTTTTGGGCAATGACGCTATGAAACCATCTAAACTGCAAGATCATCTGAGAAGATGCCACCCTGATAAAACAGAGAAAGATTTGAAATACTTTCAAACACTCAAAGATAAATTTCAGAAGAGACCTACACTGGACAGAATGTTCGCTTCGACGTCACAAAGAAATGATGATGGTTTGCGGGCGTCTTACAATATCTCGTTACTTATAGCAAAATCCGGAAAACCGCATACTATCGGAGAGAGGTTAATTTTGCCAGCCGTTGAAGAGGTTTTAAAAACTGTTTTACACAAACCTGCATCTGATATCATTAAAAGAATTCCCTTAAGCAACAATACTGTTGAAAGACGTATTGATGAAATGAGTTATGATATTGAAAGCTTCTTATGTAATTATTTGCAAACGACCCATTTCTCTATACAACTGGTCAGACACCTGTTTATTTAATGTTACGTATATTTTACATAACAGATACAAAATTTTATTTTGAGTAGTTTTAATTTAAATTCAATTAATAAATGTATAAATTAACATGTGTTTTTACTTTAAGTTTTTAACACTAAACTTCACTACAGTTAGAAATTTACAGGTAAGTAGGGGGTCTACCCAACACGGTAAAACATGGCAAGGGGTCTACGACACAAAAAGTTTGGGGAACTCTGCTCTAGGAAATAACCTAGGAGGCTTGGTGACAGATACGGAGCTTTGGAATGAAGAGTCATTATTTTGAAGTTCCTTATAAATACTTTAAAGCGTACAATTACAGTTTTCCATCTTCCAAAATCGAGTTGTCAATGTTGAACGTTTTCATACATCCAAAATTGTTGAAATGCATAATTCTTTGTAAATGGAAGGTCCCATATTATTACATGTTCAGACAGACCCTTCCAGATGAAGATTTAGTTTTGATGATAAGGAACCAATGTATAAAAACGCTAAACTCTACCAA